AACGAAAATGAAAATTTGCTTGATAATTCAACTACGCTTGTTGGAGAACAATAAAAACACTACACTCAACAAGCCACCAATAAAACTCAACTGCCTAACCTATAACCAAAGTCTCCTTTTAATTTGTTTTTTAAAAAAAGCGCTTGACAAACTTGCCCCGCATGCCGAAGTTGCCCCGATCTCCCCTATATATTTACCTTTCGGGTTTAAATTTTTCTGGTTCTGGAAAATATTCCGGATCGTGATGAATACCATGTGTCGGAATTATGACGTTATTTCCTTTTTTTATTGTTATACCTGTATCAGCTAATTCATAATCTTCAGAAGCTGTTCTTTGTAACCTAATTTTAAACGAATTTATTCTTTAATACAGTAGATATACTACAGGCTAATTATTAAATAAAAATATTGTACTTACATTATACCTGGATTTTGTATTCTCAACGTTTCGTTTAATACCGCATCGAGATAAACCATTTTACTAACAATATCGAAATCTACGTCACCCTAAAATGTAAAATTTAATTAACCTTTCATAAGAAAATTTAATACAATAAGAATTTTTTATTATAAAATATGTTTCGTGATTCCTTGACCTGATGGATTCGATTTCGGGTCTCTCAGAGCGGTAGGCTTCCATCTTGACCGCTCGGTCATCCGACCAATGGATGGTGGCTAGTAAGGATGTGGAAAATATCGTCTCAGCCATAAAACTCAACCGAAGTTATCAATGNGGAACGACTTGTAAGAAATCGGATTCCTAATAAATTGGAACGTATCTATATCTTATAGGGGGATCGACTGTACTAAGCTCTACGTGCCCATAGCACTAAGAGGGCCTCCTTTTAGCAAGACTTTAACTCCACAGAGAGTTTAAAAAATCTAATTGAGAAGAATGTTTTCGTAAATAGCGAGTTTTATAAAAAAAATTATTGGAATTAATTAAATACTATTAAGAAACGAAAACAACCGAGTTTTTATATGTTGAAAATGAAACACTTATGTAGTTTCATAGTGTAACACTATCAACTCCACGTAGATGAGTACTATGTCCTACTCTTCGCAATAATGATATAGCGCATCATCATCTCGCTATATCCTTGTTGCAGGAATTAAGTAAATGTAATATGTACAGTATATTTAATTACATCCTTTTTCTGTGGATTATATCTAGTTTATTATTTTTAAATTTTTTTCCAAAAAATGGTAATACGTATAAAGGCAGAAAATCGGATGTAGCCAGAAATTAATTGATATATACAAATTCCATCGATATTTTGTGGAACTATGTTTATGTAACTATGTTTATGTAACTGCCGAGTTCGTAGCAATAGGTCGAACGGCCTAAGAGAGCTTAGCGAACAAACAATCATCCTCATATGAATGTTTGTTTGTTCCCTAAGCTCTCCTAATAGATGTTTCTTTTTAATAATTTTTCGCTTCGCTCCCTGATGACCGAAGCGATTATGGATAAATTTACTGCCCTGGGAATCAGGATCAAATCCGGGCCATTCATTAAATCCACTCGGAATTGATCGACGAATTCGCCCTCTTAGTGCTCACATAGCAAAAAAAATTTTAAAAGAAGTTACTTTCTTTAAATGATCGAACGCAAAATCTTGATAAAACAATAAAATTTTTCTGCATGATTGTAATTTTGTTTATTGCTTGATCTATTTCGTACTGAATTTTTTTTAAATCTTTCATATTAGATTATTTAAGCGTTTCCGATTTTTTTCTATTAAGATATAAATGGAATTAATGAATAACGCATATTTTTAAAATAAACGGTTATTTTACCTTTCTATTCCTAGCAGATTTTAATTTTTAACTGTAAATTCGTTTGAAGAATTGTTTTATACTCAGTTGAGTAAGAGTAAGAATTTTAATTTAGAATTAAATAAATGAAAGATAAATAATATATATAAAATCTTTGTACTTGACAAGAATAAGAAAGCATTTATTTACATGTGTTTCCCATGTTTCATCTATTTCCTTCAACAACTTCTCTTGGCATTCTGGATTTAATGCCATTTGATAAGCTAAGAATGTCATGGTTGTTGTCGTTGCATCGTGGCCACCGATAATAAAAAGAACACACTGAGCAACAATTTCGTCGAGTGTCATTGCTAAAACACAATATATTAAAATTATGAAATAAATCACCAACAAGAATTAATAAATGATAATGAAAGAAAAATGGATACTTTTATGTTTAGGTTGAACTTTGTAATTATTTATTTCATTCTCTACTTCTTTCAAGTCTTCGGCGGTGTTTTCAAGTAATCCTTCCTGAGCGTCCATCATTAATTGAAGAAAATCGTTTCCTCTCTATAAAGAATTTAATATCTCAATTTCTTATCTAATCAAGGTCAAACAAATAATTATTTTACTTCAAAATGATTTTGCTGTATTGCCCAATTTATTTACAATTAGCTGAAGTACCCGGCTTCGCTCAGGGAGTTGATATGAGATTGTGTGGTAGTTGGAATAAAAGGATAAACTTTAAAATATAACAAGTAAAAAAATTTATTGAAAACACATTCTAACTATTAATATTTACAATACTTGTTTATAAACATTTTTCATTTTGTTATTTGAGGTATAGGCCTATATGTACAAATTTTTCGAATTTCCTACTCGAGAGCAAGCTACGTATAGTTGACCGTGAGAGAAGCAGGAGTCTTTGAGGTTGATTCCGCAATGTTTTAAAGTGTGTCCTTGCACTTTGTTAATTGTAAAACTATAGGCTAATTTGATTGGAAATTGCAGTCTTTTAAATTGGAATGGCATTTCAGTAGAGATCAGTGGTATTCTGAGGATAAATACTGTGTGTCCTTTGTCCTTTCAGTCATAACTTCGGCTTCGATGATGTTATTCGATATCTGTTTGACGATCAATCTTGTTCCATTACATAGTTTTGGTGAGCTTAGATTTCTGAGTAGTATGATCGGATATCCAATTTTCAGTCGAAGGCAGTGTAATGGCATTCCTGGTACTTGCAAACTGTTTAGAAATTCTGTAGGGAAGTTGACACTTTCATCAACGTTTACCATCGTGTCGATCGATTTGTATATTCTCTCCACACCGGAAATTTTCCTTTGAATATTAAAGTTGATATCGTCGACAATATTATTTTAGTTGCCAAAATTGCCCTTTGAAATAGCCACTCCGGATTGGTATAGTTGTGAACAATGTTTGAATAAATTTGGTTGATGAGTTCGTTTTCAGTAGTGGCTATGTTGCAAAAATCACTGTTGAGTTCAATGAGGCCGGTCGTCTGGTCAGTGGGATATGTGCCTTTGCCTATTTGTAAAAGTTTTTGAGCAAAATGTGCTGTTGTTTCGTCTTTCGAGAGTTCAACTGTCATATTTTTTGCTAGTCGCATTATTTATATGTTTGCCAGAGATGTAATTTTTTTAATCATGCATTGATCTCGTTTATTTAGCTGCAGTATTTTTGTTTTGTGTAGCAGATCAACCAAGTTGAATTGGGGATAACTGAAAGTGTTTGTCGAAAATCTCCTGAGAATATGAGTAGAGCTCCTCCCATCACTTCAGAGTTTCCTCGCAAGTCCTGTAATGTTCTGTCCATGGCTTCGAGTGATTTTTTATGTGTCATTATGCATTCGTCGCAGTAGATAATTTTAGCTTGTTTTAGAAGTTTACCCAGTCCAGATCCTCTTGAGATTTTACATGCCGGGAATTGTTCTTCGGCTATATTCAACGGTAGTAGGGCCGATTAAGCAGTTCGTCCTCCTTCCATAAGTGTGGCTGCAATGCCAGATGATGCCAGTGCAAGTGCGATGTGTTGTTAAGCACGTATTTCCGCCAGCAATAGATTTATTAGAAACGTTTTCCCGGTGCTGCCTGGTGCGCCAAGTAAATAATTCCGCCAGTGTTGTTGATCCAGTCCATGATAACGTTGTAAATTTTTTTGGTTGTCATTGAGGAGTGGTTTGTTGTGAGCAATGTATTGAAGTAGTTCGTTGATGTTGTAGCTTTTTTTCCTTTGCAGTTTCGAAGTTTAGCACATTGAAAGCATCTTTTCGTGGTGCTGGCATTCCAAGTTGTACTAAGGTCTGGTTTTTTTTATTGCTAAACATTTATCTTCCAGGCGAATGAGTGTTTCATTGAAGATGTCGTCGTTGAATTCGATGGCCAGTTCTGGATGAGCTTGTCGGATTTGGTAAGTATGTCATCACTCATACTCTCTTTGAAGGAGTCCCATAGCTGTTTTGGATTCGATGGGTTACATGTTGTTAGAATTATGGTGAATAAGTCTCTGATTTGTTCAGCTGAGGATGTGATTGAGGCTTCTTGTAATGTTAATTTTCAGTGGTTGTCGTTTTCCAGTAGTCCTAAGTGTTGGCTAATACTCTCAAATATTCTGGGTTGTTCTAGAAATGTTTAGAGGGCGAAACTTCCAACCCTTATATCTTCAACAGCATGCCCTTCAGGTAAAAACGGGAACCTTCTTCATGGATAAGGGATAGAGGGCTACCACACCATATAACTCACTTCATCATACCGGGATTCGTTTTTGAGTTTTAGCGGCACGCACATTGTACTTACCTTTATAATATATATTGATTTAAATATTTTAATTAAATATTCAATAAATCAATTTATAATCAATGTAAAACTAAAATGCTATTTGTTTGAATTAAAGCAACTTTACCTGTAATTGTATTCTTAAAATATGTATAAAGTTTTGTATAGTCTATAAAGTATTTAATTTATTTATACCGGTATATAGAAATGAGAAGTATTGCATATTTTACAGTTGGTCACATTTGTAGCTGTAAGCCTAATTTATGCAACGATATAAATGAATGTTTCATTTATAAGACAGAAAAATACAGGAATGAAAATAATAATTCCGTTATGCAAATGACGTACAGATGAGCGAATGCACGTTTCACGCGTTAATAATGTTTGCTTGAGACTAAGTAATACGCGAAAATAAATAAATAAACTATGTAGAAAACAAAATTCAGAATGTTAGACAAATGCAAATGTACTGTACAGTACATATATAATGTATATGTATTAATTAATGAAGAACATTGTGCAATGAGCTCTTACACATGTAAATTACTGCTGCCTTCGAACACACGCGTTGAAAAGTTTTTTACAAAATATTTAATAGCATAGGAATTAGTAAAATTAGTAGTAGACAGATTAGAAAAATTTAGGAGTGATTGCTAAGAAACTTTTGCAGAAAAAAGTATGCTGCAAGAATATGACTCAAATTTTGTTATTATAAAAATGTTATAGCATTAGAAACAATTACTTCAATGTTATCATAGATTGTAATAACCATTATTATCAAAAATTCTGATAAAAACAAAATTTCAGGAAAGTTCATAGTAATTTGGAATATTAAAACAGAATAAAAATTAATCCGTGTTTTGCATATTTTATATAATTTAGGAAGGCTAAAGATTTATTGCAACCTTTTTAAAATATATAAAATATCAAAAACCCAAAATCTTCAATTAAAAATTTCTTCTTAATTATTGTTGAAAGTTTTTAAAATGAAATGTACATTTTACAAAAGGTATTTTAAAATGTGTAGGGAAATTCCATGAGAAAATTTTGACTTAATAAAAATCAATAACGTTTGCATTATGTAATAAGAGATAAGGATAAACTTTTTTTTTATTATAAAATTTACGCTTAAATATTTTGCAACGCATATGAATTGTTCTTACAACTTTCTTTTGTTTTCTCTCTTCCAAGATTTTCAGAACGACGTTCCGGAAATATTCAATTATTTTCCTCGGAAAAAATTCCAATTTTAAGTAGCGAATAAGTTTCGGTGCAACGAAAACTATTAAATAAATATTAATATGTAGTTACACAACAGTTACACAAAGTTTTATTTATAACGGTAAAATCAAAACTTACACGCAAAAAAAGTTAGTTTAGACATATTTCTATTTGAAACCATTCGAGCATTATTCACAAATTCGCTGTTCTGATTTTCCTGTGCATTCAGTTTCGTAGCAAATGCAGTTGATGCAGTGACGTCGATAGCAAATTCACTCATTAAGCTGTAAAAGATTTAATAATTATTGCATAAATAATGAATTTTAAAAATGTTAATTATACAGTATGATACAATAAACTTTTCTTTTTAAGTTTAAAGTTTGTATTATTATTTATAAAAGTTTTGCCGTAATATTTCGTGGGTTTTCTCAGGCATATTCGTTTGATACTATGTATTACAAACTGTATTTCTAGAAGTTTAATCTTAATTTATGGCATTCAGCATGTAAGAAATATGTTGGTTCGTTTAATGTTATACAAGTGAAATCGTAAAATCGTTTGTTTTTATTATTATATAATTTCTTGTTGGTTAAAAATTTTCAGATTAACTTAACTTAAAAATAATTTAATACATGATAAATACTGTATAAACCCCATGTTTTTATGTTTTTTCGATTTGAATACGAAATTGCTTGCAAAATGCAATTTAAAACAAATATTGCCGGAAAGTTTTATATCGACGGCCGAACAGTAAAAACCCAGAAATTATTCTACCATGTCATGAATTTGTCAACTTTTCGTGCAAAAGTCGTTGCGTAGATATCTAGAAACAGTGTACGCCAGCAGTAAAACATAGTGCCGATTATTCATGGGAATTATCATTAAATTTTCCGGATATCGATTGTGTGAGAATCAAGGTTTAATTAAAATCTTCATAAATTCTGAAGATATAAAATTTAACGCGTCTTAGTTCATATATATAATTAAGTGGTGTCATGAACTAACGAAGAAAAAGGAAGACTTCAGCGATTTTTCCAAAAACCATAATAATAATTTACCTCCCTGATAGTGAACAGTGCTAGACCGGAACAACCCACCACTTCACAATTAGTGTCATCAGAGTGAGATTTAACGCTCCCCTAGTTCACAATTGTCATAAACGTTACTTTGTTGATTACTATACATAAAATTAACCTCTTTATTATTTTAAAACTAATCGTAAAGGGAAGACTATTAAAAGTCAAACAAAGTAAATTTTCGAACGTTCCTAACGCCCCATGTTTCGAATTAAGGAATTCATAAATTCCTTAATTCGAGACATTCACAAATTAAGGAAGCCAATCTGAACCTAAGCATAGAAGAAACTGTTTAAGAAACCAAACGGCTGACCGACGTTTCCTTCTTTGGTAGTTTTTGCAGCGAAGAAGCAACAGTTTGTAGTTAAATGTCCTAATCGTACAATTAAAAAACATAAAATCTTTACAAATTAAATTAAATAATATTAAAAATACTGAGGGAACAGGTAACAGCATTGGATAGTTAGTTCGGCCAGGTTGATCTGCTACACAAAACAAAAATACTGCAGCTAAATAAAGCATTCCTTTTGTGGAAGAAGAATACACATGCGAGTAACGATTCTTCATCCTGCGAGAAGTGTAATAAGCTTATATCTCGCAGCAACATATTTCCTTGCTTTTAAAAATAAATTACTTTTTTGTTCCAACGCTGCTTCAATTAGAAATAGCCTAATGACATTTTACCTAGAAAATAGAGTCTAAATTTTAGTTAAACACTCGTAGCATTACCAGTATTTACTGAAATGACAAGCTGAGCAGATGAGGGTATACGGTAACGATAACTACACTATGATTGACCTTGTTCAATTGTTAAACTGCAAGATTTTGTTGAGGATTCAACCTACAAAGTAAATTTATTCTGGCGTAGTAAACATTAGTATTGTTTTATTTCAAAGACACATGGCAAGTTTTCCATCAAATTCTTTTATTAGTTGAGTCGATACTAATGTTTACTACGCCAGAATTATAAAACAGGACACGGTTACAAAAAACAAATTAAGAAACTAAATTTAGTTATAAACAATATTTATAACATATGAAGACTGTATTGATAGAAATGTAAAATTTCTATATAAATTCCATTAAGTTTTTGGATATTTCTCGAAAACTGTTTTTATTTTGTGATATTTTTCTGTTAATTTATTTCAGTCACTATAACTACAGGCATACCAGTGGCCAAGCTGTTCCGTTCTCTGAACACTAGGAATTCGGTCGTGATTTCGCACTTGACCAGGACGATCTGGCAACATGGAGCTTTCTAAGTTTTCTCCACGTCTGTAGCGCCTGAATAGGGGCCAGTTACCCTCAAAAAACCTCCCGGAAGACATCCCCTTAGGCAGATCGCCCAAGTCTTGCGTTGCCATAACAATAAACTATAACTACAATTACCAATCTTTATATGGAAATAATATAATAAAAAGTTCAATTATGTAAATGCATAATACATTATATAAATACATACATATGTACTATACAGTATACACAAAAGTTGCATACACCACACAGAAAATAAAATTTCCTTTCTTTTAAAAATTTNTAGTTATGTGTGAAAATAAACGTGAAAGTTTGAATAAACAAGGAAATATTTTTAAAATCATTGCAGCTTAAATGTAGCAGAGTCCAAGATGTGTATATAATGAAAGTCCTCTTAATTCCCGCAGGTGAAAAGAGACACAAAAATGAAAAGAAAGCGAAATATTGATGTGATAAAAAAAACATTCTGTTAAAATTCTTTCCAAACTTAACTTATACATAAATGAATTGTTATAATTATTTTGATTCGAAAAATATTAAGATGTGAGCATTTAGATTACTTAGTAAAACACATAATGTATTACACAATTTCATTAGTTTTTTGTATTAATTTAATAAATATATTTAATATATAGCACGTTAAAAATTTTTTAAATAAATTAGAATATATAGATATTAGAATAATTAAATTGAATGTTTTTTAAAACATTATGTGTAATACATAATATAGAAACCAAAATAATTTTAATTCAATAATTAATGATTATTGATAATTAAAAAAATAAATGTGAATTAATTAAAAAATTGACTCACCCAAATATTTTACCGTGATTTTTATAAGTAGCAAGAACATTCTCGTGAAACGGCTGAAAAAGATTTATATATGAGTTTATAAAAACATATTAAACAATAGAGAATATATTTATTTTAAATACAAGAAAATAATTATAATATTTATTTTCAACGATCACTTAAAATTGTTTATCGCAGAAATTTTTAAGAAGGATAAACACATTCTGCATCCCATTTTTGGTTATAATTTTAAATCTTTATTAAAATGGGAATAATTACATATATATACTGTATATATATTATATAATATGGTTAATTTTGCACAGCATCGAGAAACATTTCTGCATCGAAAATCATATTTGAACCTTCCACCATTAATTAAACTAATACATTTGTTTTATTATAATAATATTTGTGTGACGTTTTTACACGTGGGTTGGTGTATTCACATGACAAACGTAACTACCAAAATGAACTGAGATTCCTTTCTTGCAGGAAAGGCGTCTTTATCTGCAATAGCACAAAAGTCGAATTTTGCTTCACTTTTGCGGTATGAATAAAAGCGGTAACATTTCGAGACTTGTGAAACTTTTGTTGCCACAAATCTCGAAATGTTTCCGTTTTTTACAAAACTTTTAATTTGTTGCCACAAACGAACCGCACATGCGCATTGCCTTAAATTCACAGAATTTTGTACGGATAGTAGCTTTTTTTAAAATCTTTTCGCTCTGTGAGCACTAAAAGGACATCTTCTTAGCAATCCCATTATGAGTTCGTCTAGGCCCAGAATGGGCAGCCGGGTAATGAGGGACGATAGGCTGCCATCTTGACCGCTCGGTCATCCGACCAATGGATGGTGGCTAGTAAGGATGTGGAAAATATNAATGCATAATATATTATATAAATACATACATATGTACTATACAGTATACACAAAAGTTGCATACACCACACAGAAAATAAAATTTCCTTTCTTTTAAAAATTTACAAAAATTCCTAATGTAAATTATATTTTGTTATAAGTTTTTATAAACTATTTTAATTTTATTATAAAAACAGACATTTTAAAACGTAATTTTAAAAGATAAAACTTATATTCTTCAGTTTTGCAATTTGTAAATTAATTAAAGACATGAACGGATAAAGGTGTAATGTATCTCAGATACAGTACTACCATAAAAAATCTCCGAAATTAAATGATACTGGAAATGATTAAATGATACTTTCTGCGAGACACTATTTCTTGGATATATTTACACTGAAGTAATAATATAATAAAAACTTAAACATCAATGTACTCAAAACTTGTATTTTGTAACATAATACATTCAATTATTCATGTCCTCAATTATTCTGTAAATTCATTAACTATTGAAATATTCTACTTAAAATATATTTAGGATTATTAAGCAACATGAATAAAATAAATTCTTACTCTTTGAAATTAAATTTTTCACCTTTTTCGGCGTTTTTATTCAAACGTGCGGCTAATGATTCCGCACATTGTTTAACTAAATTTGCCATCTAAAAAATATTTTTCAATGTTTTAATAAGTAGATAAATTATCACATCTTTCATCTTATTTATAAAAGCTAATTTTACTTTTCTCATTCTGCTACTGGTAAATGTCGGACTCATCAAATTTCTTACTCTTTTCCAATCTTCATCAACAAGTATACTAACCATACGGTTAACCGTTGAATCTCCAAAATCCATCTTCTGCAAAAAAAGTAAGACAGTTGTAATTATTTTGCCAAATCTATTGAATTCATAACGATACGCATTCAAAGTCGCCTTACAAATACTAAACAGACAAAACTATTTCACACACTCTTAATAAAAATTTAGACTATTTATGAATCTTAAAAGTAAATTTTCAATAATTATAAACAAATTTGTATTTATTAATATATCTTACCAGTCTATTACGAAAAGTTGGGAAGTCTTTTACAAGGATATGTTTAATCAGCTCTGGTTTAGATATCCATAAATCATATGATGGCATGCAAGTTCTAGAATCAAAATTTTGACATAAGAAATAATTTATAAAATTTCATATAATATTATAAAATTAATAAGATATTAAATAGCAAATTACGTCTTAGTTTGAAAATTTAGCAGATATTAATCGAAAAGAATGCTAAATTTAAATTAATTCCTTTAGTTAATGCTAGAAATTTTGTCAATTTATTATTTTACTGAACTTTGCAAAATATGTTTCTATCATCTACATTAAATAAATAATACTTTGAAGTTGAGAATTAATATTTTTACCTAACCTTTGAACATATTCATAAAAGTTATTGTTGTTAGTTATTGCTAATGTATAATTCTGTTACTCATTAAGGGTTGTGCTAAAGTAGGGATAATTAAAGACCACTGGCCCTTAATTATCCCTACTTTAAACAAACAAATGATTAAAAATATGAAATGAGGGTTAAGGGATGCCAAGGAGAGTTCCTCCCGTGAGGAATTTATTATTTTTAATAAATTAATTTATCAATTTCAATTTCATGTAACTTTTGATTAAATACTAATCCGGGATTCACTAATTTGGCAGCTTGGATTCTTCAGGACACAAGTTAAGGCAGTGATTTGAATCTGGCGAGCATTAGTTTGCACGAATATCTCTTGGCCAGATATGTAGTGTTGCCAATGTGAAAAACTGAAATTATTCGTTTCTGTATGTCCGCATATCCAAAATTATTTAGAGCTACCTAATGTAAAGATTTAGAAAAATCTATTTTGAACACAGAAATGAGAAAAGGAGAGAAACAAGTGAGAGACGAGTTAACTTTTCTACAGAGTTGGAGAGAAGCACGATATTTCAATATAGCTTCTTTCAAGACAATGGACGTATGGGTACTTTTATGTGGAAACAACTAAGTAAACTTATAGCATAACCCATTCGATATGAAACTAACTCACGTAGCAGCTTGTTATTAGAACAGGCATTTTAAAACGTCTTGCCCTTATCCCCTATAAAATACAGTTCATTAGACACAAAAGTAAACAAGGAAAACAATGGTAGCAAAATTATTCCCAAGAAATAAGTAAAAGAGACTAAATTTAGGGTAAAATACACGAGAAATAGGATAGTTTTTAGAAGATATTATTGGTCAAAATGGAAATGGAGACCATTGACAAAGGTTTCAAAATTACCAAATAAATTTACATAGATGATTGGAAGCGAATAATATGAGCAAAGAATAAATCCCAAATTTTCACAATTAGAAACAGCACATTTTTGATCTAATGAACAAAATAATCTCTTGATCTTGGATTGAATTACAATATTCTTACCAATATAACCGCATCTCTTCCAAGGTATACAAAATTATAGATAGCAAAATGATAAATGCAATAGAATTTAATATCCGAATCCCTAATCCGTTCCATAATCCATTTCATAACCCAAACATTTATTATTTAAAATTTAATTGTTTTTATTCCGAAAAAATTCTATTGTATTCAGGTTACACTATGAAATTGGTATTCAAAATCTTCCGTTCCCACATTAGACAAATTTCAACTTATAACTGTATTTTACTTAGGAAAATTTCCGTTCCGGTAACTTTTCGTTTTACAGATACTCTTTTTTAGCTAGGATTTATTATAGTTATACAAAACTGATATAAAACTAATATAGAAAATTAGCACAAATACTTAGAGATATATATTAAGAATATTAAGATGAAGGTTGTAACTACGGTATAAAAAATTAGCGCTATTTCGATTAAACTGTTGCAGAACTCATAGTAGAGGAGTTTTTCTCAAACTTTTTACTCACGCTACTCAATGCATTTGTAATGATTCTGCCACCCAAATATTTTTAATATAAAATGTTTAAAACACCTTGTAAAGTGAAGTCACTGTATATTATATAACGAAATAAAATTATGCATTGTAGATAATAATTACTACATATGTGAAATGTAATATTGAGTACATTTCTATTAACAGTGGTTCTGGGCAATTTCGATTTGTAATAAATAACTTACTTCAATTTCAGTTTTAATTATTTAAATTTAACTATTAAAAAATGGAGGAACGATGATAGTAAATAAAACACTGTTTCAAAATTATTCGGGAGTTTATTTTACTTTGAAAAATATTACAAGTGTTTTTAATAAACTTAATGAACCCTTCTTAAAATGCACTTTTCAAATTGTAAAAAGATTTAGTCAATTTCATTTTGAACATAAACACATACTCCAAAAAATACTTTAAAAATTATTTATTGATCCACTTGTGTCAAAACTCATCCCGTTATTTATTATTTATATATATATTTATTTTGTAGTTATGTATGAAAATAAACGTGAAAGTTTGAATAAACAAGGAAATATTTTTAAAATCATTGCAGCTTAAATGTAGCAGAGTCCAAGATGTGTATATAATGAAAGTCCTCTTAATTCCCGCAGGTGAAAAGAGACACAAAAATGAAAAGAAAGCGAAATATTGATGTGATAAAAAAAACATTCTGTTAAAATTCTTTCCAAACTTAACTTATACATAAATGAATTGTTATAATTATTTTGATTTGAAAAATATTAAGATGTGAGCATTTAGATTACTTAGTAAAACACATAATGTATTACACAATTTCATTAGTTTTTTGTATTAATTTAATAAATATATTTAATATATAGCACGTTAAAAATTTTTTAAATAAATTAGAATATATAGATATTAGAATAATTAAATTGAATGTTTTTTAAAACATTATGTGTAATACATAATATAGAAACCAAAATAATTTTAATTCAATAATTAATGATTATTGATAATTAAAAAAATAAATGTGAATTAATTAAAAAATTGACTCACCCAAATATTTTACCGTGATTTTTATAAGTAGCAAGAACATTCTCGTGAAACGGCTGAAAAAGATTTATATATGAGTTTATAAAAACATATTAAACAATAGAGAATATATTTATTTTAAATACAAGAAAATAATTATAATATTTATTTTCAACGATCACTTAAAATTGTTTATCGCAGAAATTTTTAAGAAGGATAAACACATTCTGCATCCCATTTTTGGTTATAATTTTAAATCTTTATTAAAATGGGAATAATTACATATATATACTGTATATATATTATATAATATGGTTAATTTTGCACAGCATCGAGAAACATTTCTGCATCGAAAATCATATTTGAACCTTCCACCATTAATTAAACTAATACATTTGTTTTATTATAATAATATTTGTGTGACGTTTTTACACGTGGGTTGGTGTATTCACATGACAAACGTAACTACCAAAATGAACTGAGATTCCTTTCTTGCAGGAAAGGCGTCTTTATCTGCAATAGCACAAAAGTCGAATTTTGCTTCACTTTTGCGGTATGAATAAAAGCGGTAACATTTCGAGACTTGTGAAACTTTTGTTGCCACAAATCTCGAAATGTTTCCGTTTTTTACAAAACTTTTAATTTGTTGCCACAAACGAACCGCACATGCGCATTGCCTTAAATTCACAGAATTTTGTACGGATAGTAGCTTTTTTTAAAATCTTTTCGCTCTGTGAGCACTAAAAGGACATCTTCTTAGCAATCCCATTATGAGTTCGTCTAGGCCCAGAATGGGCAGCCGGGTAATGAGGGACGATAGGCTGCCATCTTGACCGCTCGGTCATCCGACCAATGGATGGTGGCTAGTAAGGATGTGGAAAATATCGTCTCAGCCATAAAACTCAACCGAAGTTATCAATGTTTTTATTTTATTTATGAAATCAATAAAAATTTAATATCGTCTGAGAAAAATAACTTTTATTTGATAACCAAAAGTTCTTCAATCCTGAATTCGATCGTCCTGAATTATTCGATAATAATCCAGAATTCTGGTAGTATTCCGCAAATCGGATTATTATTATTTTTTCTTTTGGGAACGTAGTGCATTAAAGACTTCAAGCAAAAATTTATGGTGCGGCCGTGCACGTTGTTACACGTTGGAACCGTAAGATCGAGAAGAATTACTCATTTTGTTACAGTGTCTTGTTTCTATCGGGTCGGACGAAGGGCTTTCATTAGCGCTTTTTTCGTGCTTAATACATGTTTACGCCGCAAACGCTGAAATGTTAGTACAAAGATATTTCAATACCGGTGTTGAAATCATTATCTGATGTTCGCAAAACTCGAATTTTACTACTTTAGCACGGCAACATCTGAAAAATTGCTTCTCTTCATAGCTACAGTAATAAAAAAAATTATAGCAATGTTTGATACGTTCAGATCACGTTACAACTTATAGAATTTTTCGAAATTAAAACGTCTAATAATCCGGTACCAATATTATTCTGCAGATTTCGGATTAACGAACTTCTGCGATATAACAAAGACTTCGGCTTTGTAATACCGCAAAACTTTAAATAAATTTTTATTAAATTTATTTAAACATTTTTATTAGTTCTAGATATCTTCCTTATTTACAAACTGTAGAATTATATAATGCATATTTTAGAATGCTACAAACGTGTTTATGCAGTCAATCACCATTTTCGCATTTTGTCAAAGTTTTAAAAAAATGACGATAATAAGTTAATACTGTATTAAAGTGGCAATAGAAATGGCAAAAGCTGTGACGCGCTAATAGGAAAGAAACTGACAACTTATATCATACTGGGAAAAACAGCACCCAAGAATTCCTCGATATGTTTGCTTTCGTATCATGATTCATTCACGAGGTCACATGAGATACAGATATACACAATAGGGTGGTAGGAGCTCGTCTTCTCAATGATTTCCATTAAATCGATTTCCACCCACACAGGGATGTGACCGTTTGCTTCCTTTTCTCTAATGTTACTAAATAACGGTTATAACATGCTTACGTGTACTTTAAATCATAAACAATTGTGGAAATAGTTGTGGTGCGTCAGTATCATATTAGATGAATCTACGGATATGTCTACACGGCAAAACATGATTGTTTATGTTCGCTTTGTGGAAGATGATCATCACAAGACAATTTTTGTACAATCATTCTGGACCGTGGAATGCTTACCACATTATAAACCAGTTAGTTTCATGTTTACATGAAAATGATTGAATACTAATTGTCTATTTAGTGTTACTACAGATGGTGCAGAATTGGAATGAAAAAGTGTTGTCACTCATTTAAAAAGAAAATTTCCACAGTCTTATATGAACGTATTGCGCGCATGCTTTCTCTAGCTGCTTCTGATGTTGGAGATTCCGATACATATTTACTTAACTTTTAAGGAGTTGTAAACGTCATCTCTATGTACTGTAAATCATTTTCCAAACTCGTTAAAATTATAAAAAATAAAAAAACCTGGAAAATATTCAGCGAATCTCAATGCTCTAAAAAACTTAAACAAGTTTTTACTCGCGGGGGTTAGCTTTTGAAGGTTCTGTCTGCTATTCTAGAAAATTTTGATGCATTAATTCATGTTCTAGAATAAGATAAATCAACAAAGGTTATTGTCTTATTGAGATCAGTAATAAACTAGTTTTGTCTTTGAGGTTTACTTCTTGCATTATCTACTAAAAGATACAGATAGCTTATATCCGAAACAGGTGCTAACCCAGCTGAAGCAATCTGTCGGTAATTTCGTGAATTACCATACGAAACAACTTGGAAAAGATGATATTGAAATTTTGACGTTAAAAGTTAGTTTCAAAACTTCCGTTTACACTTAGAAGTGGAGCTGATGTTATGAGCTATGTTCTGCGAAGTGCTGAGCTAATCTGAACTTCAACATGCTATAAAATTAAGTTTTTTCTCACAATTCCAGTTTATCAAACATTAAAAGATTCTCGCAACAGAATATCACAAGAACCGAGTTGAGAAATAGATTAGATATTATTTAAGAGAATGCGGGATTTACCCATATCTATAAGTTATATGTAAGACTCTGATATTAACAAAAATGAATTTTTTCAAGCTATGAAATAATAGTATGAATTTCCAGTAGGATTCTCTTCTAACATACCGTAACTTATCTAATCAAGATGCTGTATTAAGTAGTAATAAAAAGTTTCAATATTTATATGGATTAATTCTAGAACTCTCGGAGCTTTCTCTAACTTAAAACGCCCAAAGGGGACAATTTGTCCATTGTAGTTAAATCCAGTTTTCACACTTTATTTTGTGATAATTTGAAGTTTTGAAGCGTCTCATATTGTAAAAATGTATTCATAAAAGTAATTCCATAAAAATTTAATTTATTTTTATATAGTTTACAAAATAATGACGAGTTTTTGCTGTTTTTTTTTTTTTTTTGCAATTTCCTAACACTTGGCATTTACATTTGTTATCTTCACTAAACAGCGCTCGAGGAATGCAAATAAATTTTTGTCAAATTTCTTCAGCAAGCTTCCGTATAAATTCTCTTCAAGCAATTTTGATTCTGACAGATTTGTGTATAAGGCATAAGTTTAATTACAGCTAATTCTAGTATATTATATAAAGAATTCATAGGCCATCTTTTAGACGATATCTTGACATAATATTGCTTGGCCATATTATTTAGAATATCAGGACCAGATTTTGTTTTATTTGAATAATTAACACAGTCCGGTGTTCTCATTAGTCGCAATAGTTATTGCAGAATAAAAAGTTATATTTTCCTGTTTTCCCTGATAAATAGTAATTATTATGTCGTAAACCATTCTGTTTGGTACAACGTACTGACCATCATTGTATTGGTTAACAGCAATACTACAGACCCACTTAACACAACAATGTCATATGAAAAATTGTGTGTTTAAACTGTCTGTAGATTCATAGTAAAAATTATAACCAGATGGATGTACGAACACTTGCAACATACCTATGTAACCTTTAATCATTAACCTAAATATTACAGGTTTCTTTTCTAATCTGGTAATTTTTATATATATTAAGTTAAATCTTAAATCTTTTGCAATTGTTGTAGGTATCTGTATTTTTGTAATTGTGGCTGAAAAGGATCTAGTGAAGATCGAAATGAATTCCAGACATAAAATTAATCTTATTAAGCTTATCTCCACCTTCAAAATTAAGCCATTTTGCCTTTTTTATAATAATTAATACAATAAATGTTATTTTTAATAACATTTCACAACAGATGGCGCCATACGCAATTTTAACTTTGTGCTGTTCTACTTTTTCTTAAATATAAGTGCTTTTCTCCGGAAAAGTTCGCAACTCGTTGTTGAATTTTTCTTTTAATTCACAATTAACAGCGACAAATAAATGAACTACATTTTCCTGCAATCATGTAATGATTTTTATATTTATAATTTATATTCTTCATTGTAAATAAAGAACAAATGTAGTAGTGAATTGCAGAAAATTCCAGATAAACCACTGCTAGGGTATTCTTGGTGAACTAAAGACTATATATTTCCTATATTATACGAAAGTTCTCAAATAATAAAATTTAATTATAAACAAAGTATTCTAATAATTAGCATACTTAAAGTAAAAAGAAAAATATATTTCAGAGTATAGAAACAATCAACTTTTTCTCATACTTTTACTTAAATCAAGGCAAGTTAATTTATGTTAACATTATAGAAAATAACTGGATTTTTATTAATATAAAGATTAGATAAGCCAATGTGTTATAATAATTCTGTTTAGTATAAAATTGAAGTATTTACCTTTCTTAAAGCTCTTATTGTTCCTATTAAAAATTCAAGTTTTGTTTGCGATTCAACTCCTTGATCTTTCCAGTATCTAAATTTTTTTTCCACGTAACTATAATAAATAAAACAAAATACATTAAAAAACGAAATGAATGATTATTTAGAATTAAATTTGTTAATTTCTAAATAAAAGAAGTTTTATATATCATTATGTATAATTTTATGCAAGTACACACGCAGTTTATTATTTATATCCTGTTAACAAATAGTTCTTATGAAATTAAAATATACGAAAGCATTAAATCATTTGTTGATTAACTTAATTAATATTATAAATGATAATAATGTAATTAAATTATAAGTAATTTCTATATATTAGAACATACTAAAATATATTTGATATTTTAAAATAAATAAAATATTCTTAGCTTCGTTTAATTTCTAGATTGTAATCCAAATTAAATATTCAAGTCATTTACGTAATAATAATAATTATGAAAGTTTTAATGAACCGTATTATTTTTTGAAATAAGAGATTCATTACTTTTACTCTACAGCATGTTTTCGTATTAAAGTGAAAAGCAATTATGTTGAAACATTTGTGGAATTAACGTAGCAAAACATATTTCAATGAATTTGCATATTATTTGATAAAATTAACGTCTACGGCAAAAGAATAAAGGATTCGACATCATTTAATTGTTAGAAACAGTACATTTTCTAAATTAAGTTATTTCTCAGCGAGATGTTCTTTCCTATTCTTTTTAATAACAATTAGAAATACAAATATACATTAAATAACTGTATTTATATTTTATGTTTATTAATTTGGTAATTTTAATCCGTTTCCGATTCTATTTCCAAAAATTAGTTTTTTAGTATTTGCAATTCATTTCCGTTTCAACTCAATTATAAACACATCTTTAACGTTAAGAAGGGAAATAACCGAATTACTCAAAAAAGTATAACAATAAATGTTGCACAAATAGAATATTTTTTGAATCAATGTTATTCGATTAGTTTTGAGAAATATTGAAAAAGCTCAGCCTGTCGTACCTTTCTTATAATGTTTGATTGTATTGATAAATATAAAAGAAATTATTAATTCAACTGACGGAGTTTGCAGGAAAGCAAATCCGAAAAATACTATAAAAATTATAAATTTATATATATTTTATTTTATTAATTTATTAAAGTTGATAACATGTGATTATCAACATCTATAACATCTGATTTATTTCAATATTTAAATATAAATACATATTGAAATAAAAAATAAACGTCAATGTTATAAATATTATTTATTGATATAATCCTTTTATGTCGCTGAAATTTTTATATAATTGGAATGCAGCCATTTTTATTAAGTTGGATTATTTCTTTAACATTTTTCATGATATTTTTCAATTATAACACTTGTATTAGTATTTATGGGTTTTACAGAACAATTTTCACTAATACGGTATATTAATACAAAATGTATTGTATTGGCAAATACGAAGAGGTATTTCCAAAGAAATAAATAGAAAGAACAAGAAGCGATCCAGTACTAAAGGAAATTTGTTTGTTTTTCTTTTGTGCATAAAATATTTTAAAAAGCCTAACTGAAAAAAAAATGCCATTTTTCTTTTCATATCTTCCAACTTCATGAAACATACATCTAAATTTTGATCTTGTAATTTTAATTTTTAAATTTCACGTAACTTCCATATTTTAAATGTAACTTAATTTAAAATTAAGTTACATTTAAAATATGTAATTTATTGATAAATATAAGTTACATATATTTATCAATATATGTAAATACACTTACTAAACAAATTTAGTAAGTGATAATTGTACTCTCTACTATTCGAATTTTCACAAATTTCGTTGTGAAAAGTTTTATTTTATGCTGGAATTTTTGAACTGTCCAATTTAAACAGCTAATGCCATCAGCTGTTTAAATACAACAGTTCAAACATGTCTATCTAGCAGTTTTACTCCATTACAAGAATTGCTTCTATATCTACTATTATCTTCTTTTTCAAAATATTTTACGCACAAAAGAAAAACAAACAAATTTCCTTTAGTACTGGGTCGCTTCTTGTTCTTTCTATTTATTTCTTTGGAAGCAAGCAAAAAATTGCTGAAGAGAATTTATCACACAGGAACACTATTGATGGGTAACGTAGATTTTATTTTATGGAAAAGGAAATGCGATAAAAACATATATAAAAAAAAAAATTTATAAAAATGAAATGCGTTTTGCTCCATTCGCTTATATTCATTCTTCATTATACAATTTGGTGAAACTACATAATAAATTACGGTAAAATTAACAACTATTTATTATGTTACATATGCATAAAACTCTCAAAAAATTCGACCAGAATATTATTACGTAGGTGACACCGGAAAAATATTACAACTATAGATTAGAAGAATAGAGCATAAACTCGCATTACAGTATAATTACACTAAGTCCGAAACTCCGCTAGCATAAAAACGAGCGTAAAAAATCCTTTCTGTAATTATTTTTAACCACGTGACCATCAATTCATGCGTGCAGAAGTGTTCACTTTCGACATTTGATGACAGTACAACGCCGTAAAAACTAGTGAAGCCAGAACCTTCATCACAATTCAAGGGCAAACGCAAATACTTCACGTGATTAAAAGTAATTATGCTCGTTTTACGCTAGTGGAGTCTCGGACGAACTCAGCGGTCGGCATACACTGTAATCATGTCAGTTGAGGGATATCAATCCATAGAATCAAAATTTTTAAAAAGGGAGAAAATACTATAGAAAACAAATGATTTGAGCATTTGGAAATTATTAAAATCAAGGAAATAGAATGCGTTTAAACAATGACATTGTCATCAGTGAGATCTGTCAACCATTACTTCCAAAATAACAAGAGTCATTGTAAGATGTTATTCCTTCAACTTCCCCCACATTTTCTTAATTCTGTGTATAGATATAACAGTCAGTCTACCTGGTACACGTAGAGTGAAGCATTTTACTTTTTATTTTAGTGGTAGTTTTACTGATTAATTTTAGTGTTTTTATATGTTAATTTTTCCATTTGCCAATTTTTTAGCATGTTTTAACATCCATGTTTTATAGTATACCCTTACAAAGCATTTTAATAGCATTTTATAGTTATTTTAGTGTTTTTAAAATTTATTTTAGTTTTACTTGTTTTACTCGATTTATTTTTAAAATGTTTGGTTACTGCAGCGGTTACTATTAAATATCATTTCAGATAATCTATTTTTTTATACGTTTTACACGTATATAGGATAATAAATAATTATTAATTTTACCGTAATTTATTCTGTAGTTTCATCAAATTGTATAATAAGGACTGAAGAGGCGCACACAGTCCGAAATACATTTCCTTTTTATAAAATAAAATCTATGTTACGCATGTGTTCCTATGTGATTGTTCCTGTGTGATAAGTTGGATGTAGCAATTTTGTGCTTATTACCAAAGAAATTTCCGTTATTTAATATAATGAACAATAATAAAAGTAATTTTAAATTTTTTAAGGAAAAAGTTGATAAATGTATAAAAAATTTTATAACAATTCGTCCAGCCTCTTCAAAACTATTTCTCCATGACTTTAAAATGTGTAGCCATGTATTTTTTTTTTTAANTGACTCAAAAAATAAAAATCAAGAGATTTTAAATCAGATGACGTAATCAAACTAACCGATCAGTCCACCCTTCTTTCAATAAATTTCCGCTCTGGATAATCTTCACTAAAATTCAGATCTTGGCAAATTTTTCCTTAGGCACAAAAACAAAATAAGTTTTCATTCTTTGTTACGGGCTTTATGATCTGTTTATTGGGACGTTTTCTTTTAGCATTAGATGTACAGTACAGTACGTACATACAGAATGATCATAACTAATGAATAATGTTCGGAGCTATCTGTAGAAAGAACCATTGTGCAAATCTCTATAAAATTTGGTATACATACTGTTCGGATACGCGGTTTCGGTTTCGGAAAAAGTTATTTTTATAATTCAGCAGCTAGAGCGAAATTTGATGCTAATTTTTCCTTATTGTTCGTTTTACATACACTTTCTAACGAATTTCGGGTTTTATACCCGAAATTCGTTAGAAAGTGCCAGTCGAGAAACATTCTTTACAATTCTTAGTTAGACGAACAGTTATAATGCTCACGTTGTCTGATAGTGTAAATTCAACGACACACATAAAAAAATATAGCCACACACTTAAGGAATTTCGGGGTGTTATTGAAGGGATCGTGTGACTATTGTGAATATTAAGAGAGTGATTTTGCATTTCGAGCATAAAACAATTATTATTAATTTAATAAGTCTAAAATTTAAATTATTACTAGTAGGCTAACGATATAATTTATATTTTAGATTTTAGCATACCCTACAAAAAATATATCAAAAAATATTGCCTGTTATACTTACATATAAAAAAGAATGATAACCGTAGAAGCTAGAAGAAGCCAATTGGGTAGACTAAAGCCGAATCCAACATCCATGTTGGCTGTTAAGTTGACTGTAAAACTTTATCAACGTCACTTCTGTTAAATATGTCGTTCGTTTGTTATTGCATCACAGTTGCGTCATTGTTGGCAATGAAGTTGAAAAGTATTTCTCGGTTTACAAGAAGACTTTTTATACCACTTTTTTATAATATATTATAGATTAATCTAGAGTATTATATTATTATTATTTATTATTATTAAATCGTCAAAAATATATACTTTATGGAATAAAAAATATATATTCTATTCAAGATACCTCATCTCGCAGATATTTATTATATAAGTACGTGTGACAATAATTTATTTACGTAATTTTAACCAAAATTTTTAAAATTGGTAAGTCTAATCGAAAAGTTGGTAATATATTTAAAATGTCTTTATTATTTAATTGTAAATGTACTTATTGAAATATATTTATTTAAATATAGGCCTATGTTATATATTTATAATACGATTAATGAATATTTGACAATAAGAGTTTTTCATTAAAAATAATAAACATTTCAATCTCGAATGAAGTATTTTAGAATGAAAAAAGTTAGTATCGAAGTAAACATGATATTTTAATAAAAGTATTTAAACGATAATTTTTCCGAAGCTGCAAAATTAATCGATATAATTTTGAAATCTTTTGTCTGTGAGTCTTTGTAAAATTAGTCCGGTAGAAATGAATTTATAATATTTGTATGAAAATGTTGCACTATTTTTATACCTTTCTATCTGCGAAATGCGCTTACGGTTTCATTTGTAAATGGAATTGGTTGACAACACTAAAAATGTCACCTATCGATAAGAATGCACGTACAATTATCTTACATTTATTATCTTCTTTTTTGCCTGTTCCTTTAGTTACTGTGTTGCGACACGTTACGAAATTTTTCTGATGCAATATTCGTCCTATAAATTGAGAACAGTTAATGAACAGCATCTCTAACAGTTCTATTTGTTAACTAATAATTTTGCTTCTGATAGTAGAACGTATTCGATTTATAATTGATTTGAAGAAGATTCTGTTAAGATGGAATTGGATTTTATTTATAATATATTTAACTGGATTATTATATCTGCTGCAATCTTCATTTTTCTGTGTGTGTAAGTAGATTATATTATATTTATAATGCGTTTTTCCTCTTTTCACATTCATTACTAATTTTATTTTCATAATTAAAAATTAAATGTTAATAAATTAGAGAGAACAGTAGTCTTATTTCTTAGATAAGATAAATGTTAATATTTAATTCTAAATAAAAACAATTGAATAGTTTTCCAGTTATAAGTATACGGGTATAAATTAATTTAAAGTTTTAAATTATTAAATTTATTTATGTGATTAATCTGTTGATTGTTTATACTTAATTAAATTTAAATTCATTAATAAACAAGTTAAACCGTAACTGTTGGTAATAAACGCTTTAGCATTACTTATACGTATAAACTGAAACTTCCAATAATGTTGCACCATAAAACCATAACAAAAAAATTAAAGTCTACTTCTTTTCACTTTTTACATCAGAGAAGTGTATTAGCTATTTTTCGGCACACAGCTATCGAGATGCTGTTCATTAACTGCCTTGCGCTAAATTTTTAAGTTAATTTCTAATAGCATTGTGTCTTCCCGTCTCAGTCTTGTAGCTATAACGTGGAGTAAACAAGGAATTTCAAATGACTCAAAAAATAAAAATCAAGAGATTTTAAATCAGATGACGTAATCAAACTAACCGATCAGTCCACCCTTCTTTCAAGAAATTTCCGATCTGGATAATCTTTACTAAAATTCAGATCTTGGCAAATTTTTCCTTAGGCACAAAAACAAAATAAGTTTTCATTCTTTGTTACGGGCTTTATGATCTGTTTATTGGGACGTTTTCTTTTAGCATTAGATGTACAGTACAGTACGTACATACAGAATGATCATAACTAATGAATAATGTTCGGAGCTATCTGTAGAAAGAACCATTGTGCAAATCTCTATAAAATTTGGTATACATACTGTTCGGATACGCGGTTTCGGTTTCGGAAAAAGTTATTTTTATAATTCAGCAGCTAGAGCGAAATTTGATGCTAATTTTTCCTTATTGTTCGTTTTACATACACTTTCTAACGAATTTCGGGTTTTATACCCGAAATTCGTTAGAAAGTGCCAGTCGAGAAACATTCTTTACAATTCTTAGTTAGACGAACAGTTATAATGCTCACGTTGTCTGATAGTGTAAATTCAACGACACACATCAAAAAATATAGCCACACACTTAAGGAATTTCGGGGTGTTATTGAAGGGATCGTGTGACTATTGTGAATATTAAGAGAGTGATTTTGCATTTCGAGTAGACTAGAGCTTTCATTCCGAAACCAGGACAAGGTTGAATACTTATTGGTGATCTGAAAATGCAAGATGTTCTGCAGTAGTGCAGCTTGAAATAGAAATTCGCAACGTAGTAGTAGTGATAGTAGTGGTGGTAGATGTGCAAAATCATACCAATTACACAGGCCGTATACGACAATATTGAAAGTTACCTGATAAACCGCCCATACTGTCTTATACGGCGTGCTTTAAATTAAGTTATTGTGTGTCTGTCCAAACAGAAACTTGTAAGCAATTTTTCACCCACTCTCTAATTTTCAATCTACTTGAATATTTGCATAAGTATATATTTCCTATGACAATATAGTTTTTTTAGAATTATCAAACAATTTCAGCAATTAGCAAACAAAATTAGCAAAAAAATAAAATTTGTAGATAAAATCTGATTACAGATGACGCTACACGCAGCTTGTGTAGCTCCAATTGTGAGGAAATCGTGCAAAAGCGGCAAGTCCTTGCCCCTTTCTAATCGTATTGTCTGCATAAAACCTTGTAACTGAATTTTCCGCCTATTTTCCAATTAAATGCTAAACCAAGAAATTTTTTCGAGTGGTTTAAATTTGAAAAATTTACATTCAAAATAAAGAAAGATCGGAAAAGACTCATGTTCGTTTGTGTTAAGTGATTATAACTTTGTTTTTTTTAAAATAAAATTTTAATGTGTAATAACACTACCGGAGAATTTACAAAATTTGTAAATTGTATTTTTAACAAATATATTCGATCGTTTAACATCATTTAATATAAATAACAAATGACGTAAAACGTTGTATAGTTGACGTCATTTTCCAACTTCTCTACATATTGATTATAATAAATTAGAAATTTACGTCAACTATACAACGTTTGACGTCATTTTTATCTATATTAATTGATGTTAAACGATTTAATATATTTCTAAACATTGCAGTGTAGAAAAACTGTAAAATCGCTAGTCGTAAAATAAAATATTTCGATTTTATATAAAGAAATAAGCCGAGAAAACATAAATATAAAGATAATTTATTTCATCACATAATAACTGTTCTGAAATTAAGCTACAAATAGATCACAATAAGCAGACCAAAGAGAGAAAACAAGAACTAAGGTCAAGCTGATTGAAAAAATATAAACGTCAACATTAATATACGTCATTGGCCCAATCAAGAATAATTATGTCCTTTATATATGTATAATATTATTTTTATATTATTATATTAAAGCAATAAACTGAAATGTTTTAATTAATTTATTTATTCGCATGCATAAAGTAAATAAGGTATTTTTGCTAAAGTTAAATAAATGAATATAAAAATCTTAATTGCTTTTCTTACAACTATTAAACATACTTATACACAATTGTTTATAACTGCATTTTAATATATTAACAATATAAATTATTATTATATTATGTTATATCATATATTTTTTAATTAATTTTTTGTATAGTCGGCTATATTTTTTAAAGGTAATTTTTAATGAAACATTATAAATTACATTAAACAATGATAGCTATATAATTTGGATCCATAGAAATAAAATTGATACGAAAGAAAAGTTTTATCAATAATTTATTTTCGCCGTTTATGAAAAACGCAATTACCAGAAAATAATAGGGAAATAAATATATAGTTATTTCCCTATTCTTTTATGTAAGAATACGATTAAACAATATGAATAAGATAATAAATAAATACAGTAGTTGTTTATTTGTTTCTTTTCTTTCTCACATTATTTATCGCTGAATACAGAAAATCCAAATAATTAATTAAGAGCATGTTTACAAATGTAGGAAAGTAAAATAAAATGTAGTTTTCGTACTACATTTTATTTTACTGAATTATCATTACTGATTAGTCAAAAGTTACGTTTGCCAGTCAAATAAATATCTTGCTTATTTTTAAAATGCGTTTAGGCATTGAGGAATTTTGGGATTGTTATAGGGGATAAGCAATCTATACCAAGAGAAAATATTGTCACTATATTTTTTTAAAATTTCCGTTGAAAAGAGCATTTAAATAAAGTCTTTATATAAATATTATTTTAAGAATTACTTTTGTAACCCTGAACTGTAATTGATGATTAAAATTATTTTTAGTAATAATTGCTTGAAAAATTTAGTCATGAAAATGAAATTAATTTTGCTTGAAAATTTTATGTATAGAATAATTTTATTTCTACATAAGTTATATTCTTTTCAATAAAAAATAGTGAAGTTTTCAATTTAGAGAGTTGGAATTGAAAAAAAAAATACTAAACTGCAATTAAAAATAAATATCCGTATATTACATTAATTGTTTTAACGTCCATTTAAATTGATTCTGAAAACTATTGATAATAACATCTTCATCTGTTGTCATGCACGCATAGAAATTATATTGTAGCATAAATAAAAATATATTTCCTAGATGGCAGTTGTTACATTGACGTAGGAAGTTACTTATACGGGATGTCCAAAGTTACGTTATATAGATTGTTACTTAATTACTTTCCTGGTTGACAATTCACTTGTCTCGCGAACATCATGCAACTATTTGAAATTTTTAACTATAAGTGGTTTATATTTATCGTGTTGGTGCTTCTTCTCAGTGTTTCGTAAGTAAGAAATGTAATAATTTATTTTATTCTGTACTTTCATAAAAATTACGAGTTATATTGTTGTCTGATAAAGTTAGTTTCCATATCATACGTAAAAGTTTATGTCGATATAGGAAAACTTCGCTAAGTCGAAGTGTAAGGGTTAAGGAGACCGCAGTACTTTATATGAAAAACCCGATATAATGTGCCTAGGAATTTCAGACAACCTATAATTAACGCCCTTATATTATATTTAAAATTATTTACAATATTACAAATATTAGAATAACAAAAAATTTACTCAACTTTATTCTTGAGCTAATTCTCTACTGACAAGAATTTCGTCTTTTTAGTTTCATTTAATTATTAATATGTAGAGCTATTAGAGTCACTTAAGTGAGTTATTACAAGATAAATTTTAGTCAATCTATTATATGTAGGCTACAGTATATAAAATAATCCTGGCTTAGTGATGTGAACATTATTAATAAATTCTTTCTTTGATATTTTTACAATAAGATTATTTATTTAATTTATTATTATTA